CCAAAAACTGAACCGTACCTTGGGGCACTTGACCTGACCTCAGAGGTCACCGGTTGACCTAGGACCTTAAAATCGGGTACCAATCTCTGCGTCTCGTAACGGCGCACACGCTCGTTTTTTCCGCGACGCGCTAGCTCCACCAGGGGCGAGACGGCGAGGGGGGGTCGTACCCGCCCCCCCCCCCCCCCCCCCTCGGCCGGCGCGTATGTAGAAAACCAATAGGTCCGGCGAGGGTTAAATGATAGATCGATGAATGTTCTTTCGACAATTCCTCTACCATTTCTCACGAAACCCAGGCCCAGCCGATCTTCTACGGCGTACAGGGTAAAGATTTCTCTGCACGCCAGCACCCGCGACGCGCCTCCCCGATCGTCGGCGCGCGGTCCTCGGCAGCGCAGTCGGTAGCGTATCGGACTACGGATCCGAGGGTCGTGAACAGTAGCGGCGGAACACCTTCAATTAAGGGGGGGGGGGGGGCACTGCCGACTTTTGGTCCCATTCTTTCCATGCAACGCCCATAAGGCCAATGTTAAAATGCCAAAATCGAAGGGGGGGGCACGGTGCCCCAGTGCCCTCCCCGTTCCGCCGCCTATGGTCGTGAGTTCGAATCCTGGGAGCCCCGCGTGATTTTGGCTTGAATTGAATGATGCAGATTCTTGCATGTGTGTATAATCAATCAATTATAGCTAATTGAATGTACGAGTATCTGCCCACTAATCGGCCTCTAAAACCTGTTATTGAAGAGATTTAAGTGGCATTAACATGGCAACGCAATGAATAGTTTTTCTTAAGTTCAACATTGTACGGATACGGACCAAAAGCTAAATGGCATGACAGTTTTGAGTTTTTTACCGCTGCCACCACTGAAGATCTCCTCGAGGTAGGTACTTATCTGTAGACGGGCCGAGTGTCGTTCTTCATTGCGCTGACAGTTCTTGACGTAGGTAACCCTCGCCCGTATAGGAGGGGTCCAACGGACCCCCTCGTTTTTTTCGCGAATAACTCACGTAAAAAGCAGCCGATCGCAACGAAACTTTTAGTACCCTCGCATCGATCAATTTTACACCTGCCCTGAAAATTTCAGGACGCTGACCCAAATGACCTTTGACCTGTGACCTACTTTCCGAGACCATGTTCGGCCGGAATCGCGATTCGGCGTATGTCGGCGCGCATTAGCCGCGCGTTTGCAGTCTTTTCGTGGTTCCAAACGTTCAAACATGTGATCTGATGTTGCTCCCATGCATTAGGGTGGATGTCAAGGTCACCTGAAGGTCAGGTTAGGTCATTGACCTTTGATGACCTCGGTTCACTTTTTCGAGTTTTACATGCTTGTAGGCTGGTTTTTGGAGCTGAATTCGAATAAAGCAGCTATTTGAACATTTACAAAGTATAGTTATGGTGCCTTCGTAACATACTACGAAGCTGTCAGAGGCTGTTGACACCTTCTACGAATACTCGCCACGACCCCTACTGGTTGACCTGACCTGACCTGACCCGACCTCGCGTAAATACATGAAGACATCAACTGTGATCAAAACTAACAAACATGATATTCGTGATCAGCATCCCGAAAAACCCCATAGCAGCCGCATTTCACGACGTTCTAACAGGTCCCGATTTTCCCGACTTTTGAGTCATTGACCTGACCTGGCAGGTCAAGCAATGACCTAGGACCTTAAAATTGCGCATCATCGGCTTCCTCTCGTCACAGGCAACACGCTCGTTTTTTTTCTGCGAAGCTCTAGCTCGATCAGGGGCGAAACTGCAAGAGGAAATCACAAAAAAATGGTCTGCGAGAAAGCTGAGACACCTCACCTGCCCCCGTGGACCAGAATAAGAGCGAGTTATTGGTGGTGAAGTAAATGCACACATTCGAGTACCTATTCGTTCGAATCGAATTTTGGGCAGGAGGAAGGTGTGGCGCATTTAAGAACATGGCGCAATATGACCTCTCTCCCCTACTTTTTATGGAGACATGCTAGAGGAATGAAAACACATTCGATGTGTTCAGGTCGACAATACGGATCTACTGATATGCAAAATGACCTTTTCCGATCAAGTCATTACCTTGACCCAAGGTGAAATTTTCCAAATACCTTTTAAGTCCAAATTATAGTTCATTCGAGCCATCTCGACGAGAGATCTCGACGTTTCTTGAGTCAAAAGTGATTAAAAAAAAACATTGTTCGTAAAAGCAGCTATTTTCAATTTTTGCCTCTGGCGGCTAAACCGTTGACCTGAGGTCAAATCTGAGCACTGTCTTTAGAAAAAGCGTTGAAAGGGCTATCGAATGCGTTTCTCTGCGGCGCTGCAGCAGCTCTATTGGTTCTTGAGTTATGCGCCGGAGTTTCGAAATGTGTTGACATACATAGGCAATATTTTTCTTTTGATGTTCTCTAGTCACCAGACCTTTGCCCAGACTTAAAAATGACTGCTTTCGTCTTGATTTTCGAAGGTCTTTCGAATGCCGCTTGCCGCGTGTCGCTACGTGGCCCAGGAGCCGAGTTAGAAGGAGAGGGGGTGTTCAGACACCCACCGGCCCGGAGCGGTTGGCACTGAGGACCAGCCTGGCGCGGGTTAAGGAGGGAGGTTAATGCGTGACCATTTCCGCTGGATCAAAGCCGATCGAAGGGAATCTGCAAGGTGGTTTTATGCAGGGTCCGGCAAAAGTTTTGTCCTCTACCTAGGGCAACACTTATCCGGTTTCTAATCGTTTCTACCCCTAAGGGATAAAGATTTTGGAAAACGATTTTGGGAAATATTGCACGGTCCAATAGCCTCCAGCGGCTCAGTTCTGAGTCGACGCATGGCCTCGACGGTCGATGGAAGGTCAACATGCAATTTCATGGAGGACGGCGCGCCAGCTCATTGCTCTGCCAGGTCCAGGTGGTTAAGTCAATCGAGCCTGCCGGAGTTCTGAAGAAATTAACCGGCTACCATCCGGACCCTGATCCTGAGCGAGGATCTTTGGGCTACCTTCCGGCAGGACATAGACAAATGGAATTCGGCGGCCAACCTCGGCGCCTTGCAGTTACAGCCAAACGGGCATAGTCGAAAATCAAGCTGTCTGTGCAGTGTGCTGCATAAGCTGGTTGCCAGCACGCCAAAAAATGTTCGTACGTAAATCCCTGTTCATATAAATAACAAAAAAAAGTTAACGGCCTTAGCGTCGATGGAAATGGTGAAAATAATTCTGAAAAATTAGTCGGCTGTGAGAAACAGCACGGATGAAAGGGGGGCCAAAAGATATGTTGGCCCCCCCTTTCAGAGCCAAAGCGGGGCCATGGCCCCTATGTCCCCCCCTGGATCCGCCCTTGATTATATATAATAAAATTAAAAAATTATGTTTTTATATTTTTTTCCATTTTTTTTTTTACTTCTCGAAAAAAAAACAGAATATATGTGATAGAACACATGGTTATGATTTACTTTAGCAAGTTTTAGCTAAATATCTTGAAAAAATGCTAAGTTATAGGTACGCATTATTGCAAAAAATCACAATTATGAATTTTTTTCAAATCAATTTTTCAATACGTTTTTGACATCGTACACCAATATAAATAGCACCATCGTGTTCCTGAGCTCAAACTGCATCCGATAGACCTTTTTTTTGAAAAATGTCAACTTTAAAATTTGACCTTTTTTGACCGAAAGTGACCTGACCTCAGCTATATTCAGATGAAAATGGCCTTAAATGACACAGGCGACACCGAATTCGAAGTCTATGGCCTAAATGGACCATAAAACATGTGTCACGTGACCGACTTATGACATAAGATTTCTGTGACCTATGATGACCTGACCCTGACCTGAAAATCAAAGTACAAGTTTGGTACCATCAGGGTACCTATCTTAAGCATCTGTTCACGAGTGTGTAAACCAAAAATCAGCCTGATCTGATTTGTAAGACGGCAGCCAGAGCCCAAAAAGTGAACAAGCCAAATATCGATAATTTTTACTTTGACCTGACCTGTGACGTCATCGGTAATGAAATTAGGTTTCGCTCGACAGTTTTTCCGGGGCTATCAGATGCCGTTTGAATTTTGACGATCGGCCCAGTAGTTTCGGAGTTAGGAGGGGGCTATGAATAGCCCCCCCCCCGCCCCCTAGTGGGGCGTGTTATACACAGACCCCAGTGGGGCGCGGGTTAATCGCTGAATGTTTCAAAGCGATCCTTCACTCGGTGTAGCTATCGCGAACATTTAAACTTTTTACTGAAGTAGGGTCTCTTGATGTGACTTGGTGATCTGAACTTGAACGACTCGGGTCTGAAATGTTTACAACATGAGTACCTAGAAATTATGTGAAACAAGTCGTACCAAAAACAGCGGCGCTGGCCCTTTTTGAGATATTCGCGAAAAACCTGAGGGCCAGGGGGCGTAAAAACGCCCCACCCCAGCGCGGCGTTGGTTAGCGGTCCTTTCCTCGCGGTTGGTGTAAGTTGTTGGTGACTTAAAAATAAACTAACTCCTTAGTCCTTGGTGGTTACTTTTCTGTTGGCAAAACAGGCCTGTGGTCAGTTTTTTTTCGGCCAAGTTAAAGCAGAGTGTAGCGTCGCTGCCACTGCGCTCGACCCATACAGGGCCTTGGCTCGACCAGCGAGTGTCGCCCCACGCCGACCACCGCGGGCAGCCGCCGCGCCGTGCCCGCCGCACCGTCAGCGCATCGATCCAAGGCTGACGTCATGCAGACAGCCACCAATCACAGCGGTGCTCTGGTTGTGACGTCAGCGGCCTTCGATCACCGGCGGCCGAACCTGTGCTGTGACGTCATACAGACACACACACACACACACACGCCGGCTGACGTCATGGCTAAAGATAGCGGGCCGCCGGGCGCCGGCGCGGCGCTGGCGCCAGTCGCTATATGGGTGGGTCGTCGGCCATATTGGAGTGAGTCACGGGTGCGGCGCGGGCGGTGGTGGACGCGGGCGGAAGTGTCAGCCGAGCGCAGTTGCGCAAGCAGTGTTTCTGGAGTGTACAGGAGCAGCCGGCGTCGCGATGCGGGTGCCCAGAACGCGTGCAGGGAGTGGCGAAGGAGCAGTGGAAACGGAGCGTGTGCTGACGCCGCTCACAAACAGCAGCGAGCTGCTGCTGCCCAACTTCTCGTCGGTGGAGAGCCTCAACTCTGGCCTGACGCGCACCACGCCCACCCTGACGCCCACCACGCTGCGCAACATTGAGGAGACGTTCATGGCGTTCGACGGCGGCCTGGTGGCGCCGCCGGTGTCCCACCAGCACCAGGCCGGATTTGTGACGCCCCAGGTGGCCACCGGCGGCGGCGGCGGCGCGGCGCCGGCCGCCGAGCCGCAGCCGGCCTACCGGCGCGCCGACGGCAGCCCGCCGCCTGCGGCCGAGCGGGTCTCGCGCGCCGTGCCGCAGGGCCACCACCGCGGCGGCCGCCGACCCAAGGAGGACGACGAACTGTCGCCCGAGGAGGAGCAGCGGCGCCGCGTGCGCCGCGAGCGCAACAAGCAGGCGGCGGCACGGTGCCGGCGGCGCCGGCTCGACCTCACCAACACGCTGCAGATGGAGACTGAGGAGCTGGAGGATGAGCGCTCTAGCCTCGAGCGCCAGATCCAGATGCTGACCGCCCAAAAAGAGGAGCTCAACTTCCTGCTGGAGGCGCACCGGCCCTGCTGCAAGCTCGGCAGGGACAAGGAGAACGCGCCCAAGCGGCGTGTCATCGTCAAACAGGAGGCGGCCAAGGCGGCGCGCGCCGAGCCGTCGGAGCCGGAGCGGCCGGTGGCGGCTGGCCCGGCTGGCCCGGCGGCCAAGGTGCCGCGGCCTACCACGCTGTCGGTGGCCGGCTTCGCCACTGCCACAAGCATGCACAAGGAGGTGGCGCTCAGCACGCCCTCCCAGGGCCTGGCGCTCAACTTTGACTCGCTGCTGCAGGGCGGCACTGGTCTGACGCCGGTCGGAGGCGCCGCCCTGCCCGCCCTGATGCCGCTACCATCTGGATCGCTGGCCACGCCGGTGGTGTCTCAGCCAGAGCGGCGTGCCGACATGCTCAGCCCGGAGACGGGCAAGGAGCTGGTCTCGCTGTGACGGACCGGAGCGCGCTGCGGCCGGCGCTTGGTGCCGCCTAACTGCAGCCGCCGCAAAGATCTGGTCTCCAACGCAACTGAACAGCGGCACCGGCCGCAATAGAGAGCATAAGCGGAGCCGATGACAAAACGACAACAAAAACTCGAGTGGCAAGGAGGGTATGGGTCTTCCAGGTCGGCCAGTCAAAACTGGAGGCTGGGGAAGCACCTTCACCGACAGATGCAGCAGCAAGCGTTACAGTGACATTTTTCTTTGCTTGCACATTTGAATCACTTGAAACAAACAAAATAATTAAACTAAAGGTAATCAAGCATATAATACGAGGAAGAATGAGCCATGTGCTTCAGCTGCCGATTCCAGTGGCGGTGACCGTTCTCGGTCGATGAGCTGATGGAGAAGTGTGTCGCTGCCACCGAAGACGCCGCCGCTGGTGGTCGGACCGGCGGTCGCTGTGCTCAGCTTACCACCACAGAGCGTACCGCGACTGGGCAGGTCGCCTGTATCTGATGAGCAGACGTGCAGTGGAGTGGTTTGCAGTGGGCATTGTTATGCGATGTTGTAGGCTATGTGCCTGTCTGTGTGTGTGTGTGTGTGTGTGTGTGTGCGTGTGTGTGCGTATTTATTGTCCGGCCGGCGAGTCGAGAAAGTCAGTTATCTATGATGGTCGCCCGTAAAAGCACACTGTGAGCTTATCTTGTGTTAACCTACATACCTATTATACCCAAGTGGTATGCTGTGTAGCACAACATGGCGACTGTCGGCTAACTGAGCTGTTTGGGACGACGGCAGGTCACACTACCTGCAGCAGCTCAGCCGCAGCACACAATAAGCTGACGGCAAATGGGATGGCAAACCGGCGCATACAGACGAGGCTAGCTAGAGAAATTCAGACCAAAGATAAGGTATGATGCAAGTGTAGCATACATGATGGAAAGGTGTTAACTTTGTGAAAATGTACAATAATATATTGTAAAACTATAAAGCAACTGACGCGAAATAAGAATTATGCGATATATGTAAAATGTGAATAGAAACGAACAGGCATTCAAAGTAAAAACATTCACAAGAGGTCAGCAATGGAGAAATGAAAATTTGCACTCAATGAAACATCAGCCGCTGCCCGATCAGCTGTCTAAGCATGGTCACTAACTGGTCACTAACTGGTCTCAGGCAAGCGTTCCAGGGACGAGTAGTTTGGGTCTGATTAATTCCCGAAGTATTGCTCCCACTCAGGTGGTGCATGTATCTAGGATTTCCTTGAGGGGGATTTGTAGTTGAAAAGGCCCGTGAATGACCAAGACCGCATACAGGGGGGGGGGGGGGCAATATTCAGTATTCAATATTCACGCGTATTTGGGCAATCCCGAATAAGCTTCTGGCTATTTAGTATTTATCCATCGTCAACAGATTAAAAAGTTCCAAAATGCGTTCACTCATCAGCCTCGGCGGACTTATCTCCGCGGAAGAGCTCGGTTGAAAGCGTTCCTCATAAGCAGGCGCGTAACCACGAGTCTGAAGCTACTGGGGACCGCGTAACCACGAGTCTGAAGCTACTGGGGACCGCGTAACCACGAGTCTGAAGCTACTGGGGACCGCGTAACCACGAGTCTGAAGCTACTGGGGACCGCGTATCCACGAGTCTGAAGCTACTGGGGACCACATGGAGGGGCTTCCGGACAAAAGTCAAATGATAAAAGGTAAAAGGATGATTAGTCAACAGACATTACGTCAAAAGCAAGAAGTCAAAAATCTTTAAAGTCAACAGGTAAAAGGTCAACAAAGAGGAAAGTAAAAAAACAAAAAGTCAAAACGGACAAAACGTCAAAAGATAAAAAGTGAAATTGCCAAAAAGTCAACGAACAAAAAGTAAACTAACAGAAGTCAAAAGACAAAAAGTCAAATGGACAGGGTCAAAAGACAAAAAGTAAAAAAGGCAAAAAGTCAAATTGCCAAAAAGTTACAAGGACAAAAGTGGGAAGACAAAAGTGAACAGAACATAGAATCAAAATAAAAAAGTCAAAAGATCAAAAAGTCAAAAAGACATATAGTCAAAGCCCAAAAATTCAAAAGGACAAAAAATCAAATGGATAAAAAGTCAAAAGGGCAAAAAGTCAAGAGGACAAAAGGTGAAGAGGGCAAAAGTCAAAAGACGAAAAGTCAACAGGACATAAATTCAAATTACGAAAAATCCAAAGGACAAAAAGTTGAAATAAAAAAAAAATCAAGAGGACAAGTTACAGGGCGTATTATAAGGGATTTTCACTGGGTCGGCAATAACGATCAGGGGCGGCATTTCGCATCTGATGGGGGCGGCATACCGATCTTTGATGAACAAAACAGGCGCATTGGATAGCATAACCTTTTCTGAGTAATGACTCAGAAGTCAGACTTAATCTAAGATCAACGGTATTACGTTTATTTTGCCACGATAGTATTTCTCTGGTAATAATGCGTCGAATGAGCTATAATTTGATCTTAGCCCTTGCCCGTATGGGGGGGGGGGAGGGCGGGTCGAACGGAACTCCCCTCTCGGTTTTTCGTGAATAACTCGCGTTCAAAGCGGTTGATCGCGACGAAACGTTCAGTGCTCTCGAGTTGATCGATTTTACGCCTACCCTAAAAAGTTCATGACCCTGACCCAAATGACCTTTGACCTGTGACCTATTTCCCGAGACCATGTTTGGGCGGAGTTGCGATTCGGCGTCTGTTGGCGCGCATTAGCCGCTCGTTTGCAGTATTTTTTTTTCGTGGTTTTAAGCGTTCAAACCTGTGATATGATGTTGGTCCCATGCATTAGGACGGGTGTCAAAGTCACCTGAAAGTCAGGTCATTGAACTTTGATGACCTCGGTTCACTTTTTCGAGTTTTGCATGTTCCTAGGCTAGTTTTGCAGCTGTATTCGAATTTGTCAACCATTTGAACATTTCCTAAGTAGTTTTGGTGCCTTCGTAACTTGTTACGAAGCTGTCAGAGGCACCTGACACGTACATACTACGAAGACCCGTCACAACTCCTACTGGTTGACCTGACCTGACCCGACCTGGCCTAAATGCATGAAGACATTATCTGTAATAAAAAATAACATGATATTCGTGATCAGCATCCCGAAAACCCCTGAAGCAGCCACACTTTACGACGTTCTAACTGGTTCCAATTTTCTCGACTTTTGGGTCATTGACCTGACCTGGAAGGTCAACCAATGACCTAGGACCTTAAAATTGGGTATCATCGGCTTCCTTTCGTCACGGGCAACACGCTCGTTGTTTCCGCGAAGCTCTAGCTCAATCAGGGGCCAAACGGCAAGGGGGGTCCAACGGACTCCGGGACTGGCAAAACACCAATACGAGCGTGTTGGTGGCACACATGTTGAACCTCCGTTTCCTGGCTCTGATCACTGTTCAATCGTTTTTGATTACGTCTTTGAAGTACAAAATGTGTTAGATGACAAGAGGGCTGTTCACGACGTCGGTTTATGTGGTTTACTTAAACTGCCCTCGGGGCACGTTCCCGGCTGTGACGTCACACGGCGTTTACGTTTACGAAACACGAGTGTTTACTTAAACAGTGACAACTAAAAAGCAGTTGAGAAGATATGTAAAAGGTGCAAAGCAAAGATAATCTGATGGAAATATGTCCCATATCATGACATATTGCAAGAATAAGGACAGTTTTCATCACAAAATACCCACGACGCTAGATGCTGGTTAGCAGAGAACGATGCTCAACATAGGTCTTAGTTACAATGAAATAATAAAACCTCCCATTCCAGTCCTCTGCAACCCGTTCAGGGTTATTTTGAAACTCATTTACCCACCTACCAGCCCCTGAACTGTCCGAATTCAATTTTCCTAACTCACAACTCGCCTCACGAGTTTGCCGCACATCGCCATCATTGTCACATAAACGCGTTTACGCGCCATGTTGATGCTCTGAGGCATCAACCGTATAAACGGTTTACGGCGGAGGTCTGACGTCATTGACGAGATGTGACGTCAGGATCAGGTCGACGCTGATTGGTCCTTCAAAAAATAAACATGTTTACGGTTTATTAAACGGGATAAACCGACGTCGTGAACAGCCCTAAGGTCTCAAGCAGAATGTTGTGGCACAAATGTAACGCTAAACTAAGTCACTTTCTGAGTCTGGTGGATTGGGATTATGAGCTTGCTTATTTAAACAGCTGTCAGTCATTCAACAGGTTTATCTCAACTGTTAATGACTTGGTAAAAGACTGTGTTCCATGCAAACCGCCGGCCCCTGGCAAAACCAGCCCGCCGTGGCAGGTACGCCCTCCCGCTGATCTTGTTTCTCGGCGACAGGAAGCCTGGACCAACTATAAAGCTGTTCGCCGTCGTCTTGGCAGGCGTTCAGCGGCTGCAACTGTGGCCTACATGTCCTTCTCAGGTGCTAATCGACGCTGCCTAACCCAGCTTTTTTTCAAGGAGCCAAAACTGCACACGTGTAACCCTCCCTCACGCTCTGCGGTTGACTGACACCAGCCTATAGATGTCGCTCTCGTCGCTTTGTTGATGTGCGCCGCCCTTCCCGGGCCTTCCAGTCTTGACTGCGGTGGAGAACTGCGACAAACCCAGTTCGAGATGGATGGTGGCCTCTGTAGTCCTGTGTTTCTGTGATCGTATCATAAATGGTGCTGCCTCCCAACCTTCTAACCACTAATCTTCTGCATTCTTCTAATCAATTCTAACTGTTAAACAAATCCTATCCTCACCTTTAGCCCTATGCAGCGCCATTTATTGATTCACGTTTCACTCAATCTCCCGATGCTGATCTCAAGTGCTTCTTTCGTTGATGATTAAATATATGTACCACCGGTGGACTCCGGGGAAAACAACAACAACCAAATATGTGTTGGGATGGCCACCAGGAGGAAAACCAGTCAAATATAAAGAATTTGATGGCAGTGTAATCCCTGCACTGATGACACATTAGGTACCTACTCACTCCACTAGGCACTATGATGTCATCAGCCTCATGATATT